CAGCCTCCCAAAGGCGCGGGATTACAGACTGAGCCACTGAGCCCGGCTAATTTTTTTTACAAGGATACCAAGACCACTCAATGGGGAAAAATAGTTTTATCAACAAATAGTGCTAGAACAACTAGATAGTCATACGTCAAAGAATGAAACTAAACCCTTACCTCATACCATATACAAATATAATAATAAGATGACTCAAAGTCCGAAAGCTAAAATTATAAAACTCTTAAGATAAAACATAGGTAGAAATCTCCATGTCTTTAAATTAGGCAACAGTTTCTTAGGCATAGCACTCAAAATAGGTAAAATGAACTTCATCAACATTTAAAACTTTTGTGCATCAAAGGACACTATCAAGAGAATAGAAAGACAGCCCACAGAATGGGAGAAAGTATTTGCAAATCACGTATCTAAAAAGGGTCTAGTATCTAGAATGCATAAATAACTTCTATAACTCAGCAATAAAAGACATATAATCCAATTTAAAATAGTCAAAGTACCCGAATAGACACTTCTCCCAAGAAGATATACAAATGGCCAATACAAAGATAGAATTTTCAACATAATTAATCATTAGGGAAATGCAAATCAAAGTCACAGTGTGATACCACTTTTTACCCAATAGGATGGCTATAATTCTATTTAAAAAAAAAAAAAACAGAAAATCACAAGTGTTAACAAGGATGTGGAGAAATCAGGACCTTTGTACGTTGCTGGTAGCAATATAAAATGGTATATAACCTTTTTGAAAATCAGTTTAACAGTTTCTCAAAAAGTTAAAGTCACTATATGAACCAGCAATTCCACTCCTCGGTAGATGCTCAAAAGAACTGAAAACACGTATGCACACAAAAATGTGTACATGGTTGCTCATAGTGGCATTATTCATAATAGCTAACAGGTTAAAAACACCTCAAATGTTCATCAGTTGATGAATTAATAACCCAAATGTGGCATATCCACAAAACAGACTCCTATCTGGCGTATAAAGACATGAAGTACTACGATATGAGAGAACATGACGTCGAGAGAGAGACACCAGACACAAAAGGCCGTGCACCGTGGGATCCCTTTTATGTGCATGACCAGAATAGGCAACTCCATGGAGACACAAAGTTCATTAGTGGTTGCCTGAGCTGGGTGCAGGAAGGGTGATGGGTGACTGCTGATGGATTTCTATATGTGCTGAAGAAATGTTCCAGGTATAGGTGGTGGTGATGGTTGCACAGCCTTGTGGCTGTCTTAAAATCACTTTAAAATGGTGAATGTTAGGGTATGTGACTTTTATCTCAAGGCTCTGCGTAAAGGCTGCAGTCATGTGTCTCTGTCTTTTTCCAGGTGATAAAATGAATATGTGCATTCCCCCTGCGGCTGTGGGCACTGGTCGTTTGCACTTGCTACTGTGCACTGTGTAAATACTTTATTGGGTATTGATCAGTTCTGTTCTTGAAGGGCATTTGTATTGTTTTCTAAATCAGTTTCTATTAAACAGTGGGACTATGTAATAGTGGGACTATTTGTCTTGTTTTCTAAATGAATTTCTATTAAATAGTGGAACTGTTACACATTTGTCACTTCCTGTGCATGTCTTTTGATGGATATCGCATGGCGGCATATTTGGTAGTCTACCCCTAGGAGCGGAATTGCTGGGCCAGAAAACACATGTAGATTCCATCTTGGCAGATACCGCCACAGTTTTTAAAGCAGTTGACCCACTTTGCGCCAAGGTCCAAGAGTCATGGTCATCCCACAGCCTCCTTAACACTTGGTACTGTCCGCCTTTTCTCCGGTAGCCATGCTGGTGGGGGTGTACCCTTTGCAGTTTTAATTTGCATTTTCCTCATGATGTTGGGCACCTTTTCAGATCTTCATGGTCCTTTGGACGGCCTTGTTTACCATCTACCTTTGGTTGGCTATCTTTCCATTATTGATATGTCAAAATTTAAAAATATATATTCTGGATATGACACCTTTGTCGTGATTCGTCTGGGTAGTCAGTATGTTTTCTCATCCCGTGACTTGTGCTTTCACATTCTTAATTGCATCTTTTGGTGAGCAGAAGTTTTTAATTTTGAAGAAGTCCAATTTGTCCACATTTTGTTTTACGGTTGAGCGATGTGTGCCCTATTTAAAAATTCCTTGCCCGGCCTTAAACATCCCTTGAATCTTTGCCACCGTCCAGCTCCTCGTGGTGGGTTTCTCCCGTCCTGCCCCGTCCTCCCCCAACCGATGTCCCCACCCCCCCTTTGCCCCCTCCGACCATCTGACCCACTGCAGTCAGCGTGATCTCCCTGCCCGAGGATAGGTCTGGCTCCTCTTCGAGTCCCCGGGACTGGCACGGGCGCTGGCACGCACTAGGTGCTCAATAAGTGCTACCCAAATGAAGGCGAGGTCCTGCGGCCCAGCTGGGGATCATTAAAACTGTCAATTAGTTCTAAACACCAGCTCGTCAGGAACATTTGAGCAAAGCCAGGGAAGCAAGACGTGGAAAAACCACCAAGCGAGGAATGTTTCGTGTTCTCCAAACTGGAGCACTCATCACACAAACTCAGACCTCATTAACGTTGTTTATTCTTGCTTCTTCCCCGACCATAGGACAAGGGAAGCCCCCTCCCGGCACCCTCTGGTGGCAGGAGCCCACCCCCGCCCCCGCCCCACCCCTGGCGTCTGCTCCTCTGCACAGAGGAGGCTCGCGCTCCCTAGTCCTTCTCCTCTCCATGCGTGATGACGTAGCACAGGTTCCTGTAGTCTAGGTTCCCGCACACGTCGGGGGGGAACGCCGCAAACATCTGCTTGACCTGGAGAGGGAAGGAGCAGAGGGTCAGCCTGGACCAGGCGAATCGGGCCGGGCTGGGAGTCGGCTGTGCCCCGAAGACCCCGGATTCACCTCCTCCTCACTGAACCGGTCCGCCTGGGTCATGAGCTTCTCTTTGATGCTGTTGGAGGGAGAGAAACGGCCGGCCGTGTTCAGGGGAAGGGCTGCCCCGCGTGGACAGGCAGACCCCAGGGGTGGTGGGGGTGTCCTGGCCCGGGGGGACACGAACCTGGGGCCGGCCCCCTGCCCACCGCCCCCGACGGCCACGTGGCCCCTCCGAGCCTCAGTTCCCCCTCTGTAGCGTGAACTGTCCTCCTGGCCTGGGGCGGGAAACCAAGCAGGATGCCCGGGGGACTCCGACATGACCCTCATTTCCCACTGGGCGCTAAAATCAGCCTCTGGGTCACGGAGGGGGGCAGCCCGAGCCTCCCAGGGTCCCCTTGGCCTTCTTCTGGAAGCGCTGCCTTTTCCAGCCTGTGATTTCTTGTCAACGTCTGCTCAGGGTTTCCCAGCCGACACCATGCTTGTGCCCGTCCAAGGGCACGGGAAGGCCTGCCGGGGCCAGCACCCCCTCGAGCTCAGAAGGTCCTGCAGTGCTTAAGGGAGCTGAGGCTGAGCCCTGTGCACCCTGGGTGTCCTCTGGCGCCGTCAGCCTCGGGCCTCTCTAAGGACCAACGCACATTTTCCGTTATTTATGTTACTGCGGGACAGTCACAGTTTCCAGCTCTCCAGGCCGGGACTCTGTGTCAACCAGAGCCTCCGCTGTGGCCTGTCTGGCCTGCAGCCACGGCTCCGGGCCCCGTGTCCCAGGGCGGCACCTTCAGTCCCCAACTGGGTCCCCACCAGAATCTTCCCTACCTTGTCCTCGCGCCAGTGAGAGTGAAGGTGGGTGACAGCCAGGGATGGGTTGGGGTCATTCCAGGGGGTCCCTGGGGTGGGGCGGGAGCCGCAGACCCCAAGAGGGGGCAGAAGGGAAGG